CTATAATTTATTTTAATACGCCAGTTATGTATTTATACATTTATTTCCAATAATGATAGGTTTGGTCCTCCATATAAAAACACAAAGATGCCCTAAATTCTTCTAAAAACRTTGTTTTTTTTTAAGCTTCAGCTGCTGGCTCTGTTTTTGTATTCCTGTCGTCAGGTCCTGTCACACTTTAATGTTTTAGAAAACTTATGAAACTTTAAAGACATTTACATTGAATCAACTGGACGCCTCTTTAAGCGCTGTGTGTATTTACTGTAATGCTAACAAATTGATCAAATATATAACTGTTTGTCATTTAGACATAAAAAATATTTCATAAGTTGTCTAAAACATCAAAGTGTGACAGGACCTTTAGGCTTTTTTAGTTTTTAACTCAGCCATTTGCTACGTTTAGCTTTTAGCTACAATTTTTAGTTTTAAACAAATTCTTTCCTGCTTTTTGTCTCTTAGTTTTAGCTAAACTTTTGCTTCTTTTAATTAGCGATTTATTATTTTTAGCTTTAACCTAACCTTTGGCTACTTTTACTTCTCAAGCTACTGTTTTGCAAATTTTAGCATTTAGTTACTCTTTTGTTTCTTTTAGCTAGTTTGCTGGTTTTCAACTAAACATTGGCTACTTTTGCTTTTAGGTAGCAATTTAATAATTTTAGCTATAAGCTTCTGTTGCTTTTAGATTTTAGCTAAACTTTTGTTACTTTTGCCTCTAGCTACTTTTTTACTACTGTGTTTTCCAAGTTTTAGTTRTTGCTTTTTAAATGTAGTTTATTTTAGCTTTCAGCTACTTTTTGTCTTTTGTTGCTAACTTTAGCTAACCTTTTAATATGTTTAGCTTTTAGCTATTGCTTACCAACTTTTAGCCAGTGCTTTGCTTTAGCTGATTTGTTGCTTTTAGCTACTCTTTTGCGATTTTATTTTTTTTTAGTTTTTGTTATCTTTTTTGTCTCTATTAGCTTCAGCCTAACCTTTTACTACTAACATTTAGCTACTCTTCTGCAAATTTTAGCATTTTGTTACTCTTGTTTCTTTAGCTAGTAGTTTGCTACCTTTAGCTTTCAACNTGCAAATTTTAGCATTTTGTTACTCTTGTTTCTTTAGCTAGTAGTTTGCTACCTTTAGCTTTCAACYTAACATTGCCTACTTTTGCTTCTAGGTAGCAATTTAATACTTTTAGCTTTTARCTATCCTTTTGTTGCTTTTGRATTTTAGCCAACATTTTGCTTCTAGCTACTTTTTATCTCTTTGAACTTTAAGCTGGTGTTTTCCAACTTTTATAAATTGCTTTTCTAGTTTAGCTTATTTTAGCTTTCAGCTACTGTTTAGTGTTAACGCTGTTTTTGGTTCAAATATAATTTTTGTTTCTGCCTTCAAACTGACCTGAAGCTCCAGTCTTGTTAAATCTGTCAGATTAAATCTTAATCTGATGTATTTTCAGACGCCTACACGGACGAGGACCTGATGCTGTACTGGAAGAGCGGAGACGAGTCTCTCAGCACCGACGACAGAATCTCGTTGTCTCAGTTTCTGATCCAGAAGTTCCACACCACGTCTCGTCTGGCCTTCTACAGCAGCACAGGTACGACGGGTTATTTTCACCTGTGCAGGAGGCTGCAGGTGCGTCGCGTCTTCACTGCAGGACRCTGCTGACTGGCTGGGTTATAATATAAACAGGCGGCCTTCTTTGACTGAATGCACGTTAGCTGCTGCCTTGAATGACAGTAATTTAAATAAATATCGAACAAATAACAGATCATTCTCAGATGCTAACACAAGTTTCAGCTCATTATCTGTTAAGAGTTATAAGTATTTTTGTTCAAAACCAGTCATCCAAGCGGTTTAATTTATTTGTAATTCTGCTTAATTTACTTTAACAACAGAATTAAAGGAGTAAAAACTAAAGTAAAAAGTTTGTGTGYGTGTTTACCATCTGATGGTGAAAAYTCACCTCCGAGCTCAAAACAAACCCAGAGACATTCAGAGAAAGTTTTTCCAGTCAGCAACAAACCCGACAGATTCTGTTGGGTTTTGATGAATATTTGATGGTTTGGTGTCGTGCTGTTCTGCAAACAAGACGTGGTGAAGAGAAACCCAACTCCAATCAGAACGTCTGACATCTTTTTAGAAGAAAACCTCTGAGCTGGGAGTCTAACGCTCGTTAATGAGACGTCTGCATGTGTGCTGGGAAACAATGAGCCTGCAGCAGAACTCTGGTGTGGTTCTGAAACCCTTTAGATTGGGTCTGTTTCTAACCATTAATGTGGTTCTGTAACCCTCAGATTGGGTCTGTCTCTAACCCTCGGTTTGGTTCTGTTCACAGGCTGGTACAATCGGCTCTACATAAACTTCACGCTGCGGCGCCACATCTTCTTCTTCCTGCTGCAGACGTATTTTCCCGCCACGCTGATGGTGATGCTGTCGTGGGTGTCGTTCTGGATCGACCGGCGGGCCGTACCTGCCAGGGTCTCTTTAGGTGAAGTGAAGCCTCCTGTCAGAAACACCTGGCGGAGCCCTCAGGTTCTGATCCGTACCAACATGTGTCTGTGTGCAGGTATMACCACCGTGCTGACCATGTCCACCATCATCACCGGGGTCAACGCCTCCATGCCCCGCGTGTCCTACATCAAGGCCGTGGACATCTACCTGTGGGTCAGCTTCGTCTTCGTCTTCCTGTCTGTGCTCGAGTACGCCGCCGTCAACTACCTGTCCACCGTCCAGGACCGCCGCGAGCGCAAGATGAGGGAGAGGGCCCGCTCTCAGGTGAGTTGGACCTGATCTAAAGAGGATTATATCTGATCTAAAGTGGGCCATACCTGACCAGTGGTGTGTTATAACTGATCTCAGGTGAGTTATAACTGATCTCAGGTGAGTTATAACTGATCTCAGGTGAGTTATAACTGATCTCAGGTGAGTTTTAACTGATCTCAAGTGGGTTTAGTTGATCTCAGGTGAGTTATAACTGATCTCAGTTGAGTTATAGCTGATCTCAGGTGAGTTATAACTGACCTCAGGTGTGTTATAACTGATCTCAGGTGTGTTATAACTGATCTCAGGTGTGTTATAACTGATCTAAGGTGTGTTATAACTGATCTAAGGTGTGTTATAACTGATCTAAGGTGAGTTATAACTGATCTAAGGTGAGTTATAACTGATCTCAGGTAAGTTATAACTGATCTCAGGTGAGTTATAACTGATCTCAGGTGAGTTTAGTTGATCTCAGGTGAGTTATAACTGATCTCAGGTGAGTTTAATAGATCTCAGGTGAGGTATAACTGATCTCAGGTGAGTTTAGTTGATCTCAGGTGAGTTATAACTGATCTCAGGTGAGGTATAACTGATCTCATGTGAGTTTAGTTGATTTCAGGTAAGTTATAACTGATCTCAGGTGAATTATAACTGATCTCAGGTGAGTTTAGTTGATCTCAGGTGAGTTATAACTGATCTCAGGTGAGNTGAGTTTAGCTGAACTCAGGTGAGTTTAGTTGATCCCAGGTGATTTTAGCTGATCTCAGGTGAGTTTAGTTGATGTCAGGTGAGTTATAACTGATCTCAGGTGAGTTTAGTTGATCACAGGTGAGTTATAACTGATCTCAGGTGAGTTTAGCTGACCTCAGGTGGGTTATAACTCATCTCAGGTGAGTTTAGCTGATCTCAGATGAGTTATGGTTGTATCTACATAGTTCAAAGTGTTTATCAGGTATAAATGAGTTTGCTGTAACGTTCACCTTGTACTTCCTGTTCCTCTCAGTCGCTSCCCTGCACCTGCAGCATCTCTCAAACCAGGACCATGACCATGCTGGACGGGACCTACAGCGAGGCCGACACCAACAGCCTGGCCGGGTACACAGAGGAGCCCATGGTCCCCGAGGACGAGCTGGAGGAGAAGCACAAGGTCCCCGAGAAGTCCGAGCACATGGTGGTCCACCTGTCCATGAGCAGCGAGTCCGCCGCCACCAAGAAGAGGAAGAGCCTGCGAGCCCTCAACATCATCCAGAACACTCACGCCATCGACAAATACTCCCGGATGATCTTCCCTGGCTCCTACATCTTCTTCAACCTCATCTACTGGTCCGTTTACTGCTGAGGGACACCAGGTGGGGACAGGAGGACGGGACAGGACCCGAGGACATTCGAAGGTCTCTGACTCGACGTATTCTTCCTCACGCAGCAGCTCGAATGTTCTTCACCCGACAGCAAACCAGAAACTCAGAATGTTCGGTTTCAGCTTCGACGAGAGGAAAAACTGACAGGATTCACTTTTAATCTGTTAATCTGAGGAACGTTTTACTGAGAGATTAACTCAGACGGAACCACAACTTGAAACAAAAYCCACTGTGAAAAAAACTATTGATAAAAACCCAAAAGAACCAAAGAGAAAAACTCAACTGACGACACAGAAGAGGAGTTAAAACTAAACATCCTTCATCTGTTTACAGATAAACCTGAAATCAAATTATTTAAAAAGTCTAATCCAGTTAAATCTAAGAATAATCCAACTCACCGCTGTACACTCAGATTATTTCTTAAATGAAACTTGTTGTGAAGAGCCGAACCAGGAAGTGTTCAGGTCAGATGTGTGCACGTGAGTGTGCACGGAAACCAGCTCCTGATTTAGGTTCAGTTGAGGTTTAATTAATCCTGAMTTGTTTCGCTGTTTTTGACGCATCTTCAAACACATTCCTATAAAACAACTCATCAGTTTGAAAACATTCAAAATAATAAAAATGTTTATTTCACAGCTGGACTCGTTTAATCCACTTTGATCCTGAAACTCAGTTTTATTTTAAAAAATAACTGTTCTTGTTTTTGTGTAAAATATTCAACTTTTGAAATGTTCAAACTGTTTTTATTAACTTGAAATAACTCAGCTGTCTGCAGCTCCACATCTGTCTGTCTGCAGCTCCACATCTGTCTGTCTGCAGCTCCACATCTGTCTGTCTGCAGCTCCACATCTGTCTGTCTGCAGCTCCACCTCACCTTTTATCGTCCAGGCTTTGGAGCCGGGC